AAACAACCACATATACACTCAAACAACCACATATACACTCAAACAACTACATATACACTCAAACAACCACACATACACTCAAACACCCACATATACACTCAAACACCCACATATACACTCAAACACCCACATATACACTCAAACACCCACATACTCACCCAAACACTCATATATACACTCAAACACCCATATATACAGTCATACACCCATTAGGTACACTCAAACGCATCAACTACTAATTTTTTCTTTCTACCTCCTGCGTTTTTGATTACGACCACGTGCAAAATGATAATTGTTCAGAGGAAACTGGTCTATAAATTAGTCTACGTAGACGCGAAACGAAGTCACTTTTTTATACGTAAATAGGACTTTTTATAACTAACCCATTTATACGTCCCATTGCTGAGCTCGGGTCTTGTCTCAGACGAGAGTAATTTAATATGATATACATATATATGTATAGTCTACATACGCAATATCGTTAAATGATCAGAGTCTTATAATTTACTGCGTCCGTACACATTACCAAGATGAAAGTATCCCTGTTTTCTGGAAGGTTTAATTTCACATTAAAATGTGAAAATGTTGCTCTTTTAGCGAGAGGCGATGGTAATAAGGCTATTTTAGTAGCTTAATTAGCGCATTAGCCGACATCGAGTGCCACTTACGCTCGTTTGAGCGAATGGGCTGGATGTCTAGCACCGTTTTAGTACAGAAAAAACAGTTGGCTCGGCGATCAAAAGATGCGACAGCAAATGGAATGATTATTTTATAGTTAGTACAAGACAAAATTAATTACCCGAGTCCCAACTCTGCTAATTTTAAATCATGTCGATAGAGTGCCAATAGCAGGATTTTGTTCGTTTGGCATTCTGCTATAAAAAGCATGAAACTTACAGAAGAGGTGCGGGTCGACCGCTTATCAGGTCGGGAGCACGGCGGGTGTAATTCTGTGTATTTATATGCAAGACAACACACCAACGAGCGGACCTGGGACCCGACCTGCGTCCTCGCTTGGTGTGATGTCCATATAAATACACGGAATTACCCGCCGCGCTCCCGACCCGAGACGCGCCCGACCCGCACCCGTTCTGTACGTTTCGCGCTTATGGCCTTATTCAGAGTGGCGACGGGCGCGGTGTGCGTGTAAATCAAATATAGGTAGAAGCTCGTTGCGTTCACAGGGCCGCGCGCGCGAGGGCCGTGTCTTGGCGGCTGCGGACGCGGGTGCACGCCGTCGCGCAGCTAGATCTATTGGCTCAGTCCGCCTGTACCTTTCATAGTGCGTAGTCTAGCGTTTAGCGTCTATTTGCGATTTCGACGTGTGGATCTACAGGCTCGTAGCCGCTTCGGCACTGGAAGGGAAGACGCCAAGACCCGCGCGTCCGCATCCGCCGCCGCGCCCGCACGTGCACTCTGAATGAGTAGTGGCTAGTCATCGAGCTACTGTTGCCATTGCAATTATTTAGTATTCTCTTCAATGGCGAGTCGATGGTGTAGTCTTCTCACCTCTTTGTATCGCTTATCTCCTATGAAGTTTCCTATTTCATTGCCGTGAACATCTTCACGGCTAGTTAGGGTTACAACCCTTTCAGTCTACTAATTATTTGACAGAAAACACATTTAAGCTGAACACTACATTGTTGATTAAAGGAGACAATTATATGCGATACATAGTAATATCGTAGTTTTAGTATGGCAACATCGATAGTGAATTGTAAATATGAAAAGTTTTAATATTATTATAATTTCAATATAATCTGGGTAGAGTCTCAATGGAATTACAATGACCACTGGTTTCAAGAAATGGGAGACTTGGGGCCGTAGGTGCGAGAATCTATTAGTAGACTTGTTCATCTCTAATTTATTTGAATACAGATTATCCACAACAGTCTTGTTCCATGGAGAAATATTAAACACGAAGTAACCGCTTAAAGTATCGGTATATCGTACCTCCGGTGAACCTGTCCCAAGTTCCAACTTACATTTTGTAAAATTTGCAGAAAGCTACAGTACCG